CTTAATCTTTAAAAATACCCATAGTTTATGGGATATTTGAGATGTCTTTTAAGGGAATTTTGTACCCTTTATATAGGCGTGAACTAGGATTTAGGGTTGAGTAGCCTCCAAAAATTCTAGTAATTGAAACTGAACACCTTCTAGAGTCTCAATTTGAATTGAACACGTCTTGTAGAGTCCCACAAAATTTCAATGTCTACAGTCCCTCCAGAAGTCTGGTCCTAAAACAAATTAGTATTTACTAAGAAATTTCAAGTCAAATTCCATTCGAGGAACGAGTTGAGAAATTTCTATCAAATTTGTACCTAATTAAGAAAAACTAATTCTAATTTCCAAACAAATATTAGGTGTCATTGATTTGGAATTATGGATTACAATGGACCACTCTTTTTTTTTTCTTCTTCTTCTTCCTATTGTTTTCTATATTTATTACTTGCATATATGATGTTACATATTTATTCATTTAATTTTTGGTTATCATAGTTTGACTAATCATTAAATTTAAAATGAACAATTTATCATAACTTTAAATATAAATATCATTTAATCTTATATCAAGAAAGCGTCTGAATATCAATATCAATATAAAATTAAAATACGGGTTGGTCTTCCAAGCTAAGTTTAATGGATCATAGGACAAGAAAGTAAACACAATTATGAGAGGAGATGCCATCATAGGAAGAATCGCCAACTCTCCCAACAAATTAATATTATTTTTCAGTAATTCTTTGTGAAAAGTGTGGTTAAGACTTGTGACAAATCTTTCACACATATGCCCTAGTTATACGCTGACATAACTAACATCGAAACTTAATAGACGAGACTTCCCACATACCTCCTTTAATAATATTAATATATTTATATTATTACTAGTATATAGTATGTAGTAAGTGCAACCTCGTTTTAACAATATTTCATTTTATTTATTGTTGTTATATGTAAAATATTGTTATATAAAGGTAAAATATATGTACATTTATTATAGCGATTATAGTACATATAACATATTACACTCTTTGTAAAATTATTTTCTATAATAGTCATACTTATATATTATAGTCATACTTATATATTGTATACTAGTATAATGTAAGAAATATATTATGTATAAAAATAAAATAATCATGCACTTAATGAGTTTCAAATACAAATATCTAATTAGAAAAAATAATTTAAACAATGCTCATCTAATCATAATTTCACTAAGAAAATTACTAGTGTTTGCATTATATACATTCTCTCTCTCTCTCTCTCTCTCTCTTTTGGATTAATAGGATAAGAAATGCATTACTCTTCCTTCTTTAATGCAGAAAATCATTAAACTATTTTTAAAAAATTAATTAGCTAGTTCCACTTATTATGCACAGTTACTTATATTATTTATACCATTGTTCATTTATACAAATTTAAACTGATCTTTGAAAAAATTTAAATCAAGAAACTACTAATTATACAATATTTCTTACTCGTCCTCGTTTTTGAGTACACCTTTTTTATTTAATTTGTTTGTATTACTTTCTTATTCAGTTTATCTAGAAAAGAATGTCTATTTTTTTTTTAACATCTCTTTAAGTCTAACTTTCCACATTATAACATGTATAAGATTATAAAATTAAAGAACATTTTGGTACATTTCACATATCTTTAATTTAAGATCATATGAATCATACATCTTTTTTACTTTCTTAAATTTGATGATAAATCAAAACCAGACAAACAAATTAAAACGGAATGAGTAGGATACTTAACGAGGGTGCTTAGCGTTCATCGACTAGTCCTGTCTTTAACAATGAAGCTATTAAGTATGCTACTCCTGTAGCAGACCTAACATTGTAAGAAACAAATAATTTTACTGAAACTTGGAACTACATAAGTGGTCCAAATTCCATGATTAAATCCCACTTAAGTAATTGCTTTTGAGAACCCTAATACGAACTCTTTTTTTATTACAGTATGTTTTTATGAATTATTTTCTTATAATAAATAACATTGGATTTCTTGTTATGGTAGCGCAAAGCACTAATTGTCTTGTTATGTGAAATATATGTACGTAGGCGTCTAAAATTATGTATAGGTCATTGCTTTTTTCCCTTTTAATTTGTCCATTTAATTTGCAATCTAATTACATAGTAACTCATGCACTATCCAAAGAGGTGTCATAATTATAACGATTATAAGCATCACAGACAATCACAAATCACAATATAGGCGGTTAATTAATAACGATGCCATGTATTGATGGATGGCAAATTAGAATTTTGTAAGGTTTTAGTATCAAATAGTTATAAGACAATAAAATATCAAAAGAAAACAGAAAAGCTTTACCTGACCAACAATATAAATAAACCAATTAGTACTAACTTACCTGAATTCCAATAGAATATTACGCTTCTTTCTTACAAATATTACAAGGCAGAAACCAATAAAGTTCAAAAGGAACTTTTTTCTTTTGGGCTATATAACCCCCCCCCCCCCCCCCCAAACCCTCACCCCACCCACTCACTTTTTTTTTCCATCTGGTACTGTTTGATATTCTGAATGCGATTAAATTTAGATTTGCATCGAAAACTTTTCATATTAGAAGTAAATCATTTTATCTTTAATAAAGGTGGCTTCGTATCTAGCTAGTCAGACACAAAAATCAAAATATATAATTGACGATATATTATATTTAGCGGCTATAATATAAAATGAATATTTAGATAGAGACTGCAATTCTACTTAACCAAATAAACTATCCAATAATAAATGTTTAGATGATGAATTTAAACTCTATATACTGACGCGTGTATGATAAACAATAACTCATTAAAAAATGAGTAACTAACAAAATATTCCCACCATATATATATATAAGTGAGGTATTTCTTACATCGAAAGATAGACTGTTTCTGATAGACTTTCAATTTAAGGCTAATTAGTATATATACATCACAATTTATGTGGTGGTTAGATTGTGAGAGACGAGAGTCATTGCTTTTAATGTTTAGAACTAAAAAAATATTGAGACTTGTAATACCTTTTATGTAATTATGTTCAAATATATAAATTTTATTTCAATAAATTGTATTCGATTTGACAACAAAGTTGTACCTTAATCCATTTGAATGTTGGTCCTCTTTAATTCCTCCTTCATCCTATGGCCATGCAATATGCATGCATGGTTTTTTCTAGTTCCATTTTTGGGTATTCTGTAAAAGAGAAAAGGAGCAAAGGCTTCAAGAGGCCTCGCAAGCTTCCAACATTTCAACGCCGCAGCAAAAGTGCGCAATATATTAGTAATAGTAACAACTATTAATGCGGGATGCTTTGTGCATCGAACTACCTTTTTAATACTATATAGTATTGAGCTGGAAGCTGAAATATTGGAAGCCTTTGAGGGCTATTGAAAACTTCTCCAATTGAAAAGAAGAAAAAAACATCTATTTTTGTTCTCACTGCTTGGCTCTTTGGAAGAACCAGTCAAGAAACTAGCAAGATTTATATAGCCAGGTCCTATGCCTATAGCAATAATAATATTCGTTTATCTAATTTTAATTTTAACCTGACATCATATGAGTACTGGATTATTACTTTATCTAATCACTACTTTAATTTAAATGACCATGTAAAACAAGCTAGCCCTACGTGTCCCAATTTGTCATTTCTATATATAATTTTTTTAAAAATATATAAAAAAGCTATGTGCCCCAACTTATAGGGGGAAAAACGTGAAGTAAATACCAGAAAGGTTGCTCATTCATCAACTGAAGAGTCAAGAATATGCTTTTCAATACTTTATTTTCCATTGTATATAGTACTTGCTTAATCATCTTTTTCTTCTCAGTCTAGTCTAGTCTAGATCTATAATTGTGAGAGATATTTTGGATTGAGGAATCTATCTTATGGCAGCATAATTGATTGACTATTTGAATTTTCACTTCGTTGATGAAGATTCAATTGTTCGTATGGCCAATTTTGAAATAACTAACAACAATAATAAATAAATAAAAAGGAGGATACATTCTTGATTTAAGAAGTTGGCCACTAGGTACCTTGTGTACAGTACAAGTCAATATCTAGGGACCTGGAATCCACTGATCTACATTTGTAAAGTTTTCATGCAGTAGGTATTTGCCACCATCACATACTTTTTACACTTCTTGATACTTCTCGATTCTGGACCACATTTGTATTTTTACATACTTTCTTTCTTTAGAGTCAATTAATTGATATATAGCTGGTTTATAGGTGAATAGTGCAAGTATTATTATTATGTATATTACATTTGATAGTTGATTATGAAGTAAATTATTCATGTATACTGTTAACAAATAGAAGTATAGGTTATTTAAATGCCAATCAAATTATAGCACGTAACCAGAATATTCATCAATGGACATCTACCGCTACGCCACCAATAATGGCACTGCATGAAGTGCGTTTTACAAAACAAGGAGAACTACGAGCCAACAGCAAGAAGTAAATGCTCCCAAAATAAAATAAAATTCTCAACACAATTAATAAGTGCAAACAAAATGGACCAGAAGAAAATAACTAGAAATGAACAAATATTCTATGATAATCTACATTGACGTTAAACTCATATTAAAAATGAGGATGCTTATTTGTCTCTTGTTCAGAAATTGATATTAATTTACAGAGTACGGGTGGAAATAGATGGGTCCATTTTATTGAAATTAAAGTCCAAATAGTGAAAGACCTATTCTTCTTGTTAGACTTGCAAATTCAACCCAAAACTTGCTATCCAGCCCTGTTTCTAGCATTTCAAAGCTAAGATAAGTTCTCATAAACATACAACTAGTGCTTGTTTCAACTCTCTAACATAATTAGCTGGAAAATATGTTTTACATACATACATATTGGCGTTTGCATGCTTTTTAATTTATTTATTTAATGCTGCAACGATAGATATATACATCTCTTGAAAAATTATGAGAAAACGTCGCCACAACGCCTTCAAAGTACTTCAATTACGGAATGCATAAAGCTTATTTCAATTACGGATTCACTCCCACAGATTTCAATGTCACTGCATGAGGTTCCCTACAATGACACCAAGTAAATCACAAATATTAAAGCACAATTTTTTTAATATATATATATAAAGTAAAATAAATACGGTATATTATAACTTTAAATAGCAAAATAGAGATGACTTTCCTTTCAATAACTTCCTTTTCAATAATTCAATGTGCATCTTCCCGTAGATAAGAGAAATATATATAAGGTAGGAGTGTATTTGTAAGCCTTCAATAAGCTAACCTAAATCTTAAAAGTTGATACAGGAGATTAACATTTCTTTATTTACATCAAATCCTTTTGACTATTCTAATAAATAACTGATCAAAGATATGATCACCTAGACCAACACGAATTTTTTTGGGTCAAATCGGACCATAAATAAATGTCAAGCTTGGCCTGTGACAAGGTATGGTATGAGAGACCAATTGCCCCTCGTTAGGAGGGGCAAACCTGACCAAATCTCAATAAACAATACATGTTATGAGCCTGGATCGTGCAGGACAATACATATCATATCATGAGCTTAGCCTGGGACAAATTACAAATATGATATTAGAGATGAACGCAAGTACCTTGCAAGAGCATCCCCACGGATAGGATCATGCATGACAGATTGATTATCAAAATCCTGAACATGAGCCACCTTTCGGAAGAAGGATTTCTTTATGAACTTGTCTGCTTCATCCACAACCTCTTCCGGTTCGGTCACTTCCGGTATAGTTTCCCTCCTTGATTTCTTCACAGATACATTTGGTGCCCGCTTCAGCTGATGCATCGCCGTCTGTAAACCAAAACCCACTGATAGCGCTATTAGTCCCAACGCCACGTACACTGGAACGAAATCTCCTTTCATAAATCCCCTGTTTTCAACTTAACATCAACATCTTGCTTTTATTTCTAAAATGAAAAACTAAACATTTTTGTAATACAAGTGCTATAAACCAAAACTCACCTGGGCTTAGCGTCTGGATGCTCAGCAGTACTAGCATATGACCTGGTAATATTTGATTTTGCAAAGGCAGAATTTGCGCTAACACGAGTAGCCATAGATTTCCACAAACTCTACATCAAGGTTAAACAAAAAATTCCAATGAATGTATAACACACACATTTGAACAATCAAAATGTAACTCCAAAAACTAATAAATTAACTTGACTTACCGAAGACCTGAATGCCATTGATGCAAAATATGAGTAGTCTTAACAAAGGTTAATTGAACTGTTGTAGGAATATATGGTTCTTCTTTTATATATATACATTTGACGGAGACATCGATAAGTGACACGAAGTGATAGACATGCAAATTAAGGACACTCGTCTACAGCTAACAAGTCCACTTTGCGCTAGCGGTGACTCATGTCTTATATAAGTTTATGTTTTTGTTTTCCCTTTTTTTTATCGTTCTTTTCTTTTGGCTGACAAACCACTCTACTCCCAATTTGTTGGTCACAACAAGGAGTACATTATCTATAATCTCATCGACTCATTTTATTTGGACAACAATAATATTATAATATGTATAAAGGATGTTTAGATTATATATACACGTACAATTTTATTCAAAACAATGTAACTAAGGTAATTTGGGTATAATTAGGTAGATTTCCCGATTGGTAGTAACTCATTTCGAAGTATTTTAACCACCAAATTCGTTTTACCGAGAAAAAAAAGTATAACATAAAAAATGTTTGCATTTAAGGAGTTTTTTCTTCTTTTGTTTTTTTCTATTTGATGTTCAATATTTGTATTAAAACTTTTATTTAATGTTCAATATTCGTATTGAAATCTGACTAGATTTGTATTTTTATAAACAAAACTTACATAGTAAGGATGACGTCTTTTGTCTTGCTTTATATACTTGCTTTCCGTGGATCGCCATTAGACATAAATCGAAGCCTAACGTCTTTCATAAACTTAATTAGGTGAATATATTTTAGGAAAAATTATATATTTTGTCTCTTTACATTGTAAAAGTAGGTGTCTAATTTTCTTTTTCTAACGTACTAATCAACAGAGTACTCGAAAGTCCTCCAATCCATTTAGATAAGGCAAAGAAAGATCACATGGCATTGGAAAATAGCCCAATTGCATTAGACTTGCTATAGCATTCACAAAGCTGTACCACATATATTTATAATATATATGTATATATATACTCATTAACATGCACAACATCAAGATATCACCAACATGTAAACTTAAAACATCTACACATATCTACTACTAATAGCTTTTCACGGTGCATGTTTTGAGGCATATTACAGAATTAGAAAAGCCTTTCATTTACATCATTGGATCCACTCCTATAGTTTTCAACGTCTCTACACCTGGCTTCCTGCAACACATAAGTAAAAAAAGTAAATTGAAAAGCAATTATGAAATAGTACTACTTATAACTAAATACTAATTAAGTACTAACTTGGAATAAAACATGTCTCCGGTACGAGTACTGCTAGCATGAGCCACCTTTCGGAACAAAGATTTATTAACAAACTTTTCTGCCTCTTCCGCAACATATTCTGGTTCCACTATTTCTGGCACAGTTTCCCTTCGTGATTTCTTCACATGTACATTAGGGGCGCGCCTCAGCTGCTGCATCGCCATGTGTATCCCGAAACTCGTTGACAGTCCGATCATTCCTAGCGCCATACACACTGGCACGAAATCTCCCTTCCGTGATCTGCCATCATCAAATCAAACAAATACTCTAAATTTAAGAACGGATCGCAATTAATTCTAGTTTTCTTTTGTGTGAATGTTACTTACTCTGAATTCTAGATTTTGAAACCAATAATCAAGCTACTTACTTGGGAACAATCTGTTTGAGTGAATAAGCTGGCTTAAGCTTTGAAGTGGCTGCTGTTGCATAATTTAATGATGAGCTTCCCTTTAAGTGATTCATTAATGTGGATTTTAGACCAGACTGCAACAATCCAAAAATAGCTCTAGCATTAATATAGTAATACAGATCGATAATGAAGCATATAATTAATGATGAATTACAACGTAACATTGGTGATCACCAAGTAATTATGTAATGGAAATTGGGACTTACCAGTGATCTGAAAGCCATAGAATTAACAAGAAATTTATGTAGTATATCGAAGTAATTAGTTTGCTAATTGTGATCGATACATTTGCGTTTGTAATTGTCCATTTAATAGTTGAAGAATAGATGCTTCGGGAGACACCTAGGATGTAATAGGACTGTGATTTTACAAATGGGAGTTGGCCACGTGTCAACTACTAAATGAGTTCACGTCACTGCTATTGGACATGGAAGTCTCTTGAAGCTACTAATTAAGTCATCTTTATCATATTATTATTATATAATCACTTTTTATTATGATTAAGCTAAGGTATAGTATCCAATTGATTTAATGGGCTTGAATGAATATTTGGGTCATTCCAGAACGAAAAATCACATGTAGATTGTAGACCCAATAGTGATTAATGGGTTTGTAGTCTAACCATGTTATATTGGGTTGAAACGAACCCAAATTACAATTTTAAATTTTAAATTTTAAATTGGAAACTTTCGCAAATAGTCACTATAATAAATTTAAGGAAAATTCACTCCATATACACATTTAAGAGTAAATTTTACGGGTTTTAAATATACTTTTAAACAATTCTTACTTATAACAGTTTATTTACGGGTTATGACATATCAATTAAATTTAATTTAATTTAAAAATCAATTTCAATTTATTTAATAAATGATTAATCTGTTTATATTTTTATATTATTAATTAATAGTATTTAATTAATTTAATTTCAGTTCCTTTTTTAAAACGGAAATCATCAGTTACACATATTAAGGAATTTACATAGATTAGACTTCCTTGTTTACTGTTACACTTCAAACCTCCCATACCTCAATCCCACCACCCTCCACCCACGCCTATTCAAATCTACACGCCATCACCCCCACTACCCCATTTTCACCTTGTCTCTCCCATTTTTTTCACCAGTCAACTACACTATTTTCACAATCGTCCGTCCAATTAAGTCTTTCAACAAAATCATGTGTAAGAAACTCATTGAAACGTCTCGAAAGAGTCTTAGATTGGTTGAAGGAACTTCGACTGATGAAGTTCATGCTCCACTTGATATCAAGCATATGATGCATGTTCCTCAACAAGAGGATAGTTCCGAGTATGTATTTCTATACTTTACTGTTTTCATTAGAAAAAGTAACTTAATTTATTTCTTAAAATGTTTTTCTTTCAAATTTTTTTCAGTGATTGTGGTTTGTACACATGTCTATTTGCTGAATACATCAGTAATGATGTTTTTGATATGCATTCTGTTGATATCGATGCAAAGTACCATTGTCAAAGGTATGCCACAATCCTATGGCATTATGGAAAAATAAAGAATGAGGATGGTGCGATCAGTGAGAGTGAAGTTACTGGTACGGTTGCTAGCAAATTTGGTGGACCTCACATAGCAAAAGAACATGTTCCGGATACCACCAATTATTCTACACCAAGACCACGGACAAGAAATTTGAGATAGTTGATTGCACCTTCTACTTTTTTAGAATTACATGTTATTTTTTTTATACTTTTGGACAATTTTTTTGTGTTTAAGTACTTGATGATATATAATATCATATGCTTTCTTCCAGTCAGATACCATCTACATATCATGAATTACTAATTGACTATTATAATTTCAGGATACTAGCATAGTAATATACAAACTTCATACCAGTTGGATTCAATTTTTTAAAATATCAGTGTGTTTTCAAACTGTGTATTTATTGGATGAAATGCATATGAAATCTTATTAATATTTGTATGACTATGACTTTAATGTTTTGATTTTGGATATTGTATGAATTGAGATATAATATTGGTATACAAATGATATGAATTGTATTTTAACATTAGTGTGATTGTCTATTAACTGTGTATATGGTATGAATTTTTAAACTGGTATGAATTATCAAACTAGTGATTTTTTCTAAAAATATCACACTATGCTTACTTTCGATTCTAAACATGTTTTTGGATGAAACGTGTATGAAATCTAATCAATACGTGTATGCCTCCGACATTAATGTTTGCTTGATGATATATAATATCATATGTTTTCTTCCAGTCAGATACCATCTACATATGAATTACTGATTGACAATTATATAATTTCAGGATACTAGTAATATACATACTTTATACCAGTTGGATTCACTATTTTTAAAATATCACTGTGTTTCCAAACTATACATTTATTGGATGAAATGTGTATGAAATCTGATTAATATTTGTATGACTATGACTTTAATGTTTTGATTTTGGATATTGTATGAATTGTGATATAACATTGGTATACAAATGGTATGAATTGTGTTTTAACATTAGTGTGATTGTCTATTAACTGTATATATGGTATAAATTATTAAATTGGTATGAAAATGATATGAATTGTCAAACTAGTGATTTTTTCTAAAAATATCATATTATGCTTTCTTTCTATTCTAAACTTGTTTTTGGATGAAACATGTATGAAATCTGATTAATAAGTGTATGTATCCGACTTTAATGTTTGATTGTTGGATATTGTATGAATTATGATATAATATTGGTATACGAATGATATGCATTGTGTGATTATATGAAATTACGAATGTTTATATGAAATTGATTTATTGTTGGTATAATATGTGTGATATAAATTGAAGTTAGTGTTGAAATGAAACTTGAACAATATTGGTAAAAAAATTGTTTTAATTTTATTTATAGTAGGACACCAGTTGAAAACCAAATTAATATTCATGATAACTTACATTAAATACTCAGGATACGTGCATTCCATAATTACCTTGTATAATTATCACTATATTAACACTATCTTATATATTAAGCTTGAATAAATTTTATTTTCAGCAATATGAAATTTGTATGATTAATGAATGAAATACATATAAAAAATGAACAATATATTAAACACTTAGTTATAATGCATTTCACACCAATTATGTTTCATATCAAAACAAAACATGAGTCATAAAGTCAAAACAAAATTAAAATTTTATACAGTCTAAACAAATAAGTAATCTTTTTTTTTGCACAGGATAATTTGAACATGTCGTCCTGTTGTGGCCAACTTGACGACATCTACTGCAAGTAACTCTAGACCGTTAGAATTTCACATCAGCAAACCCCTTCCA